CGGCACCATTTTTGCAAGATATGATTTTTGCCGCGGCCTGATTTACCTCGTGGCTCAGGGTGTTGACATGAGACCACACTGTCACTGGCTGCGCACTTGATTTGGATAATTTTCTAAACACAGCTGGCTTTTTACTGACAACAATGCCTCTGCTTACGTTCTTTGGCGAGTGTGGTAGCGCGCACCAGCCTTCCCAGCGTCCGGCAACGTCAGCGAGTAGGAATGTATAGATATTGAACACGCGTTTGCCAGCTCCCACTAGCGTCTACAAGCGTGTCGAGAGCTAGGGAATATAGAATCTCTTAGGCGTCCCAGGGTTTACCAGCGTCCAGCACCGTTCAGCTTTCGTTGAGAGGATAGCAGACAGCTGATCGAGTATGGAATAGTAGGGTGGCAGACTGCTGGTTAAGGGTATGGCGCGATAGTAGGGTCGCTGGAGGACGCTGGTAGACGCTGGTGGACGCTGGCAGGCGCTAGATCGATGTCAACACTTTTCAGCCGCCGACGCTGGACGCTTGGAACGCTGATGGACGCTAGTGGTCGCCGGTGGACGCTGCTGCAAAGTTTAAGTCATAGAAGCGTAAGCTTTCTGGGGCGTAACCGTGACACGCTCGCAGTCACAGTTACGCCCCAGAAAGCTACTCTTACACTGTTTCTTGGGAATCTGTCGAACAAGTTTGTGCATTCCTTGGCACAATTTACAGCAACAATTTTACGATGAGCATAAGAGTGTGAATCGAGAAGTAAAAACAAACCTTTCGCATTAAATCTTCTGCAGGTATTTATTGCACCCTAAAACCGTGTGTTCATAATATCCTTTCATTCTATGAAGCACTAACTTTGTGTGCCGGTTTGTATGTATGTAAGTATGCATCCACGTTCGACCCTCCATGAATCTTGGCATATTGTGAGCTTCTGTCTAGGATATTACTGTAGCCGAACCAAGATGATACAACAGTTTTATTTGGCTTACGTTTCGGCCTTATCGCCTTAAAATATCCCCTCCTCAGCGACCACGTATGACCCTCCTGAGGGGTCCTTCTAAGGATGCGGCTACACCTGGACCCGCTGCCTTCCCATCCTTCATTCTACTGAACTCTCAGCGGACCTCTATCCTTTGCCCAAGGGGTGCAAGGACCTGCCGTCCGTCAATCTGTGCAGGTTCTCGATGGTTCCTTGAGCATGGACTTGTAAGCACTCTACAGGTTTTACGTACCGCTGGCGTTGCTGAATCAGCGCGATGCGGCGTTTTAGCCATGCGGAAGGCCAAAGTGTCCCTCTTCCGACCCGCTCCCCATACAGTGTCCATTTCCGTATCACTGGCCTTTGGCAACGGCTGCCTTGGCGCGTCGATTGCCGCTCTTGTAGGCAGAGATCAGGGCTTCTTGTCGTCTGCCCAGCGTTGTATGTTTCCTTTTTCTGCTCAGTTCGTCTGGACTGTCTCGTTCTAGAGCCACGCTCTAAATCTCCTCTGCAGCGCTCAGCTCGCAGTACCTGGTTTGGTCTTAGCACACTGGCAGGATGACCGATTCCTGCGGCAGCACTTGTTGGATTCGGGCGTGTGGTCTGAATGCGCCCCTCCAGTAATCATCTCAAAGCAATCATATTCCACTTTGTGCATCTTTCGTTTCTTAAGGTCTCGAGACTTCCCGGCGAGCGATCCCATATCAAGGGGTTCGCTATTTCGAGAGCTTTGGGCTAAAGGTCGCACACCCGCTGCCCGGTAGCCTCCACAGACGCACAGATCTCGGGCGAGGGTTCTGCGAGCCACTTCCGGGTAACAACCTAGCATTTCAGCGACACTTTCGGTGAATTGCGGATATGATAATTGTGATGGGGTTTACCATCATCCGGCCTGTCAACCTGGGCCTGATGCTGGTATCGGCACCATTTTTGCAAGATATTTTTTGCCGCGGCCTGATTTACCTCGTGGCTCAGGTGTTGCATGAGACCACACTGTCACTGGCTAAGCACTTGATTTGGATAATTTTCTAAACATAGATGGCTTTTTACTGACAAATGCCTCTACTTACGTTCTTTGGCGAGTGTGGTAGCGCGCAGCAGCCTTCCCAGCGTCCGGCAACGTCAGCGAGTAGGAATGTGTAGATATTGAACACGCGTTTGCCAGCTCCCACTAGCGTCTACAAGCGTGTCGAGAGCTAGGGAATATAGAATCTCTTAGGCGTCCCAGGGTTTACCAGCGTCCAGCACCGTTCAGCTTTCGTTGAGAGGATAGCAGACAGCTGATCGAGTATGGAATAGTAGGGTGGCAGACTGCTGGCTAAGGGTATGGCGCGATAGCAGGGTCGCTGGTGGACGCTGACAGGCGCTAGATCGATGTTAACATTTTTCAGTCGCCGACGCTAGACGCTTGGAACGCTGATGGACGCTAGTGGTCGCCGGTGGACGCTGCTGCAAAGTTTAAGTCATAGAAGCGTAAACTTTCTGGGGCGTAGCCGTGACACGCTC